AAAAAAAAACAATCATAATTGAGCTACATATGCAGTATTCAGTTTTGTACTAGTATTCAGCATTAATTTAAGTTACATATATGTGAAGTCATTCTTCCTTCGTTTATTCGAATAAATATCCATGAGGTAGGCTTACGAAAATGAGTATTCAGCATTGAGGTGCATATTCTTTCCTTTTCTCCAAAGAAAATTATATATTTAGGAGGTAGACTTGGATCTACACGGATTATCTCCGTCACACACTGTATCACTCCGCTGTGATTTCCTGTTCCGGTAATGCACAATGATGATGAAGATGAAGGCCAAAACTCCAGTAAGGACCCCAAGAGAGGCAATAAAAATAGAATACGGAAAATCAATCCGGTACACGAAAAACGAGATTATTTCATCGATGTTCGTTATATCGGCTCCTCGTAACTTTCTTTCAAGATCAGCTAATTCTGAGCGGTGTATTCTTTTAAATTGGTCTGTCACTCGAGTTACCATACGTCCAATTCTACCAATGAGCACAGTCTCTGATACGACTGAAACACAGTATTTGATGTACGAATTATTTGTCAATCCATAAATGATTTTTTCCCCAAAGTCAACTCTTCAATCCCTTAAGGTAGGACAAAACATCCGTGGATTCTATTTTAACCCATTTCTTAAAAAGTACTAGAGAAAAAAAGAATAATATTACTATGTTGATAACAATGAATGATCCCTGAAAGAAAAATAATTAGTTTTGGCATATTAGCCTTATATTTTGTGAAAAAAAAACCAGAGAATCCTATTTATTGGGAACTTGGGAGCTTACATTTAGGAATGTGTTTACGCTAACTAAGTGCAATAAACAAGCATGTAACAGTCTGTTATAAAATGCAGTGCAACTATTGTTCCATAAATAACTAGAGGGGTGATATTTGGACACATATATAAGGGTCTCTATTCTTCATGCACTACAAAGGTAAAGGTCATATCAAGAGGTTAAAGGTCAAATATTGTGACATCATCTACTGAATCTTTAATTTTTTTTTTGCTGTTGAATTTGTTTTAATCGCCAAAATATCTAAAACCACCGGTTCAATTTTCTTTATTTTTACACATTTTATTCTAGGACCCATTTGAATCATTCCGTTGATTTTTTTATAAAAATTGAATTATACATTTTCTGTCAAGAAAACTTACACTGCCGGATATTTACATGTGAATTTTCAGTTTCTGACACAATGTGTGTTCTATTTTACTTAATATTTCACCCAAAATTCCCAAAATCAATGTGACTTACTGATTTAAAGTAACAAAAAGGTTATCTTTATTAAAAGTATTACACAAATTTGCAATAGATCAATAGAAAATTCTAAAATAAGGCTCATTCTCAAGTCGAATGCATGTCTGATTTCACAATCTTCTTACAGTCGTCTGATAGGCCAAAAATGTGCGGTTGAATTTTTTTCATATCATATATAAAGAAGGATTTTGTATCAAAGAACAAAATATCAAAGTTTAAGAAAAATTGAATTTGAGGGAAAATTTGACCTACATATTTGGTCCTACCTTAAAAGATGACTTGTGAAATGTATTTTATTATCTTTGACTTAGAAATGAATATTATTTATAAGTACAATTATATACGTATATCTACCAGACAGTTTAATTAACTATATTACATGTAATTTATTAGAATTCAAAAATAACTTACTTGCTATTAGCATCAATATTGCACTTGTGACCGTTTTAGATGGATTGAGTGAAAATATCCTAAAGTTGACCAGCTCTAGCACGAACACTGCTCCGCACAGAATGATAGCGAAAGTACTCACTATCTGAATCTCGGGTATAGAGGCTGGAAAAAGGACATTGTTTTGGTAAAAAAAAAATTCTTTTCAAAATTACTTTCAGTAAGGTACATTGATACTCTGATAAGAGAGATAACTCTTAAGGACACAAATGTCTATTATTCCTTTATAAATTTGTCAAGTTTAAGTGCCCCTTTTGTCAAATTTTGCCCCGCTAACCGTTATAATTGTTTGTATTTTATTCAGTATATACATTTCCTTTGGAAAATCATAAATGTTAAAGAAAAATTCCATATGAGTGAGCAGAGGGTTTATGATCCTTAACTTTGATTGTTCTTACTCTCATATTTATATATTCTATTTAGGTTCACGTATAGATTTTCCCTTGTTATTTACACAAATAAATACGTAAAATAAAAAAAAAAACATTATCCGCAGAAAACGTGTGTAAATTGAAATCTGAAAAGATATAACCATTTCATATTGGATATCATTTAAAATGTTAATTTTATTCTTCAACTATTTCCATCAAAAAGGATCAATACAAATTCCTCCTGGATTGTTAATTTATTTATTTATTTATTTTTTTTTTTTTTTGCACTAAATAATTTTAATTAATTTTTTTTTGCACTAAATAAATAAGAAATTGAATGAAGATGAACTTCTTTCAAAATCTTGATATATCAGTACAACCTTTAAGGTTACCACATTAATGTCATTACAATTCTGGAAACTAGAAAAAAAATATTATAAACTCACGCTGGTTTGACGGGTAAGATTTTGGATCCGCCATATCCCAGGAAATAGCAATAAGGTCACATGTCCTAGTAGATTCACAGGTTACGTAACAAAATAGGCTCATTTTTAAGCTCATCTGAAATGAAAGTGAAAAAAAGGACGTACAGTAAAACAAAATTATACATGTAACGCATGTTTTGATGAAATCACACTAACAGAGAAAATATTTTCATTCTACGTGCTTTTCTGTATATTTATTTTAATCAATACATGCCATCCCAAATTAAACGCAGAATACACTGTAGGTGCATTTATTTTTTATTTTTATTTTTTTAATTTTTTTTTTTTTTTTGGTTTTTTTTTTGGTTTTTTTTGGTTGTTTTTTGTTTGTTTGTTTGGTTGGTTTTTTTTTTGGCATCATAAAGATAATTCAAACTGATTATCGCTAAAATTCAATTCATTTTTGGATCGACAAGCGTTCATCATGTTCATTACATTATAAAATTACAAAATTTAATTCATGATTTTATATTCAAGCCATTTTTTTAAAATAAAAAAATAGCTTCATTTGCGTTTTGCTAAAAATTATACTTATACAGTATCAAAGAAAATTATAAAACATGTCTCAAATATAATTTTGTTATCTGTTTAAGGACGGATGATACAAACCTTTTTTTTTTTCTTTGGAGGAGACATTATTTTATGTCACAAGTTTAGAAAAGAAAATGATTTTTAAAACTTTTTCTCGTAAGAAGTGGAAAATGACATAGACTTGGTAAATATAAGAAATATTTCAATATACACTGTAATTACAAATATGGATATAACACACTCTGCACAGGTTTAAAGATGAAAACAAATTTCAGAATTTTACCTTGGTGCTATAAGTGTAATAGAAGCTTTTGAAAAATATACCAAGCCTGGTGAATTTTATGAGGAAAAGCAAAATGGTAAAAATCAGCCTATGTAATATTGCTGATTTTTTGTCATTTTGTTTTCCTCGTAAAATTCACCTGGTTTGGTATATTTTTCTAAAGTTAATATTGCACTTCTAGTACCAAGGTAATATATTCTGAAATTTGTTTCACTGTAAACCTTTATCGAGTGTTATTTGTCTATTACATTTTCCAGTACTTAGGAGAATTTTTTTAAAAGAATTATATCCATTTCTAAACTTGTGACATGATATTAAGTCTCTTCCAAAGAAAAAAATCTGTTTGTATCATCTGTCCTTAAGTGGAAAAATAACTTATAACATTATATAATAATTATTATTAATTTACTTACTCCAGTAGGATACAAGTTGTTTCTAACGTAGAAAACTATCCAGTCTGGAGTTGCCATGGCAAGAAGCCAAATGATGAATGTTAAACCGATCATAATTAAACAACACATAACCATTGGGCGATTCTGTTTCTGTCTCTGAAATATATTAATATAAGTGAAATCTGCATCTTATGGTGGCATATTTCTGCCCCCTACATGCAAGATAAATTATGTTCACATGCAAGATAATAATGTAGACATGCAACATATTTATGACAACATGCAAGTTAATTATGTTGACATGCAATTAAGTTAACAATCTAATAAGAAAATATATTTTTAATATTGTCTAATTTACTTACAAACACCCGTGTCTGACATCGTACATGCAACATAAAAAAGTAGACATGCGACTTGTTTATGTCAACATGCAAGATAATTATGTCAACATGGGACTTATTCATGTTATGTTAAATTATATTTCCTTATTAGATAAATTATGTTCACATGCAAGATAATTATGTAGACATGCAACATATTTATGACAACATGCAAGTTAATTACGTTGACATGCAATTAAGTTAACAATCTAATAAGAAAATATATTTTTAATATTGTCTAATTTACTTACAAACACCCGTGTCTGACATCGTACATGCAACATAAAAAAGTAGACATGCGACTTGTTTATGTCAACATGCAAGATAATTATGTCAACATGGGACTTATTCATGTTATGTTAAATTATATTTCCTTATTAGATAAATTATGTTCACATGCAAGATAATTATGTAGACATGCAACATATTTATGACAACATGCAAGTTAATTATGTTGACATGCAATTAAGTTAACAATCCTTTTTTTTTTTTATTTATAGTTTTTCCGTGGTTTTACAAAAAGCAAAATGAGAGAGAGAGAGAGGGAGGAAGGAAGGGAAGGAAGGGAGGGAGGGGGAGAGCGAGAGAGAGATATCAATTAAATAAATTCTTCCAATACTTCCATGCCTCATCAAATTTTTCTTGTTCATTGTTTTTCTTTGCTATTATTTTATTAGTGTCATATAATATTTTTATGGAGGACATCAACCCGTTCAAAGAAAGAGTATTGTTGGCACATCTCATACTGTAAATAAAATACTTAATTTGTAAAGCAATAAGAGTTTTCACTTTTTCTGACTTCACATGTGGTCCCAATATAAATTCTTTCTTTGAATATGTAATATATTTATGAATTCTGCTAAAACATAGAGTAGAAAAGGCTTCTAGTAAGCCCTGCACTACTTCACATTCCCAAAATATATGTTCAATAGTTTCAATTTCTTTTGTACAGAAGGTACAGATATTAGTATCAATTTTTTTAATTTTATGTAGAAATAAGTTTGTAGCTAGGATTTTATGATTTATTCGAAACTGAAACCATTGCAGTTTTGTATTTTGAGTGAGCTTAAATGGGAGAGAGAAAATATTTTCCCATTCAGCATCACTCAAATCGAAGCTACGGTTCCATCCAATTTTCCCTAAAGGTTCTTCTTGATTACTTTTTAAGATTTCATACAATTTTCTTGATTTTTTGGCGTTTAATATGGAGAACAGTTCTTGAGATATATGTGGGTAACTAAACTTTGATAAAGGCTTCTTTATTTTTTTTATCCATTCTCTAACAACTGCCAAGACTGCATTATATTCAAGAAAAAGAACTTTCATATCATATGTTTTATTAAAAGCAATCAAGTTCATAAGGATCCATCTTCGTTCAATAAATCATTAACACAATAAATATTATTCTCAAACCATTTTCTATAAAAAATAGGTTTTCTATCTATTATGAAATTAGTGTTGTAAAAAATTGGTTCCATAGCTACATTATATGTTGAATCTGAGTTTTTTTTTCTGAAAAATATGCCCATGATTCCAACACATCTTTCCAAAACAAATTTTTAATAAATTTCAGTTTTCCTTTTACATATTCTGTACCACATAATGTTATTTTTTTTCATATCTAAGTCTAAAAGTGAATGTATACTGCTCTTTTGCATCACAATTTTCTTCACCCACATTAGTTTTAAAGACATAATAAATTCCTTGATGCTAACTATTTTTATACCACCGTCTTTGTAATTTTTTATGTATATTAATTTTTTCACTCTGTAATTATTTTTCCCCATAACAAAAGTAAAAAAAGTGTTTTCTAATTCCTTTAACTGAGCTTTAGAAGGATTTGGAAGTGAAGCAAAAATGTGGTTTAATTGTGGTAGAAGAAGGGTTTTCAACACTGTTAAACGCCCTAGTGGGGTGAGATTTCTGCGATTCCAGTTTATCATAGTTTTTTTTATTTTTTCAAACTTTTGTTTAAAGTTTAAATCACCAATTTTCTGTAAATCAACATCAAAATCAATACCAAGTAGTCTAAAAGCACTTTTTCCCCATTCTAAATCTACACCTACATCCAAAATGTGATTGCTATGTTTCATACTTCCTATCCATATGACTTGTGTTTTACTGTAATTGATGTGAAGTCCTGATATTTTAGCAAAATACTTCAAAGTTTTCAAACTTAATTGTAGAGACTGTGCACTACCATCCAATATAAGAGACGTATCGTCTGCCAACATAGTTATCTTATATTCTTTATCTAATACCTCGATTCCTTTTATATTTTTATTATTCCTAATTAAGATTGCTAATATTTCAGCACAAATCAAAAATAGATAGGGGGATAGTGGATCACCTTGGCGACACCCACGGTGTAAGAAGAAGGTTTCAGAAATATGTCCACCTTGATTAACTGCTGCTGTAATATTTGTGTAAAATAATTTTACCCACTTCTGAATAGAGTTACCAAATTTAAAAAATTGAAGTGACTTTTGGATGAATGACCAGGATATTGAATCGAAAGCCTTCTCAAAGTCAATTAGAAGAAGCAGCCCTGGGATATTTTCCTCTTCTGTATATTGCATAATATCATAAATGGTTCGAATATTTTCTGAAATATTTCTACCTTTTATAAAACCTGTTTGATCAGAATGAATTATTTTGTCTAAATGTTTTTTAATTCTATTTGCAATTATACCAGATGCAATTTTATATACAGTATTCAATAAAGAAATTGGTCTCCAGTTTTTTAGAAATTGTTTTGGTTTGTCTCCCTTTGGTAGACATGTAATGATACCATGCCGTTGTGTTATACTTAGATTATTAATTAGATAACCATAATTAATTGACCTTACTACAAAAGTACCTAAAAGTTTCCAAAACATTTTTAAAAATTCTGATGTGAACCCATCTGAGCCTGGTGATTTATTAGACTTCATTTTATATAATGTTTCCCCTGCTTCTTCTAATGTGATATGACCCTCTATAGATTTGGATTCTTCCTCTGAGAGTTTAACTATGTCTGGATATTTATCTTCCTCCTCCAAATTGACATTTTGTATAGAGTCATCGATGTTTCGATATAACTTTTGATAAAAGTGTTTTGTTTCTTTCAAAATATCAAACTGATTATAAATAATGTCTCCGTTATCCAATTCTACTCTTGGGATAATTTTATTGAGGAAATTTCTGGATTCTAAACTACAAAAATATTGTGTTGGTTTTTCACCTTCTTCAACCTATCTTGCTCTAGACCGAATATAAACACCAGCCATTTTTTGTTTTCTTATATTTTCTAATTCTTTCTTTTTACTATCAAGTGCATCTACATCTAATGCAGTTGGTTCACATCTCTCAAGATTTTGGATTTCTTCTATGAGCTTTTCTTCTTTTTTTATTCTAGATTTTTTTTTTTAAAGGATGAGTAAGAAATACATTTACCCCTAATTTCCATAAGGAGAGTCTCCAAAAATAATTGATCATTTATTGTAAAAGTAATTTCTTTATCGTCAATTAGATTAAAATTTTCAAAATTGTAAATAGGCGCTGCATATTGTTTTTTAACATTTTCTATAACATTTTTTATTGTTTTTAAAAACTCATCGTCATACAAAAGGGAATTATTGAACTTCCATAACCCTTTACCTTTCTTGAAGTCATTAAAAATTAGATTCAAACTAATCATTGAATGGTCAGACCTATAACTGGGTTCTATGGAGCTTGCTCTAACACTAGATAATAAGTTTCCTGATATAAGAAAGAAATCTAATCTACTTTGTTTCAATGGAGATTTCTTCCTCCAAGTATATCTTAAGGTATCCGGATGAAATTCTCTATATACATCTACATAGTTATTATCTTCAATGAGTTCAATAATCTTTTGTCTTGCATTTGGGTTATTCAGGTTTTTATAATTAAAAACGGTATAATTCAGGTTTCAGTACTAGATTAAAATCACCACATGTTATAATATTCTCAGACTGAAAATCTTCAATATATTCTTGAAGTTTAGAATAGAAAGCTGGGTTATCATTGTTTGGTCCATAAACACAACACAGTAATAACTTTTTTTCATCTGTGGTAAATTCTAATAAAAGGTAATTTCCATCACTAACACCCTTCTGCTTAGAAACAGAAAAATCAAAATTGTTTTTAAATAAGATTGCTACGCCTCTGGAGTTAGAGGAATATGAACTAAAGTAACATTCATAGCCCCACAGGTTCCTAATATCATTTTCTGCCTCTGGTGTGAAATGGGTATCTTGAAGACAGTATATATTATAGTTCATATTTCTTAAATAATGAAACACGTCTCTACGTTTGTTGATGTCCCCCAAACCTTGACAATTAACAGATAGAATTTTCAACGACATTTGCACATTTTTAATAATACATATTTACCTTTGATGAGACCGGAAGCCTTGGATTTATAGATATTGTTCTCTAAGGAAATTGAAACAAAAAAAAGAAAAGAGAAGGAAAAGCAGAGAAACTGATAGAAAGACAGAAGAATAAAGCGTAGAAGAAGAAATAAAAGACATACAACAAAACAGTTCAAAAAAATGCGAGTGGATTTGGCCGTATAATATTGTCCGAGGCCATGCAGTGTTTATATTTTTCACATTCCATATGGCGATAAAATGCCTTAATTTTGGCCCCAAACACGACCACACTCACTATGCGTCCCACCCGATCGACGCCATTTTTAAACTCCATTAAGTTAACAATCTAATCTGATTGGTAACTTGCATGTTGACATAATTATGTTGCATGTTACATGTAACATAATTATTTTGCATGTTGAATTGTTGCATGTGAACATAATTTATCTTGCATGTAGGGGGCAGAAATATGCCACCATAGACATCGTAGATGCAAGAGTCAACATGATTAGGTATAGAAATGCGACTTACATGTATTTATGATAATGTCAATGACAATATGCAAGATAACTATGACAACATGCGACTTATTCTTATCAACATGCAAAATAATTATGAGATATGTATGTTGATTATATGCAAATTATTATCTTGATTATTGATATAAATAAGTCACATGTTTAATGCTTACAAAAATAAGTCGCACCATATATGTCTACTGAGACCTATAAAAAATATTCATAACTCAGATCCTCTGAAAACAGTTGAACTTTCGAGTCAACTTAATTATCTTGCATAAAAACATAAATATCTTGTATGTTAACATAGTTCTTTCACATGTTTGCATATTTTATCCTGCATGTAGGGGGCAGAAATGTGGCAGTATAGGTCCCTGATTCAGAACACGGGATAAATTACCGGAACCGGTTTTAATTGTAGACACACTGAAGCGTGCAGCTGACATTGAGTTGTTTACAAGCGTCTAAAACATTCAGACTGTCAACATTCAATGATCTCGTGTGACTGGTAAAGAGGCTACGTTTTCTATTTATTTACCGATGAATATTGGAATGCTTATGTTGATTCCATAGCTGAACATGTAAATTAGATCTTCTTTGGATCCATATTTCTCAAAATTTATTTTGTATTTGATCACAAAGCAATATGCATACACGATCGTTACTTCGTTGTTCCATTCCAAAGTTGAACGTGTTTATTACTAAGAAAAAAAGAGAGTGATCACCCTTATACATGTAGGCTATACTGGTTTTTTTTTTACTAGATGCTAAATTTTGTTTGAACTCTAGTTGTACACGTTGTCAGGGACATGTATAGACACTTACATAGGATCCTGACCCTGCCCACTACATTGCAGTGTTATTGCTGAAATATTTCTCTTACATGTATATTCAGAGATTGACTGTAACTCTTTTTCCAAAGTAGTTAAAAGCCAAAGGATTCTGATTTTCCTTTTGAACAAGGAGTGAGATAGTAGAATAACCTACATTGATCTAAGAGTGACAAGCCGTCACTTGTGTTTGTAGGACATTTTAATGATAATATGTTTGACGATGTGATCGTTCGGGCAAGCACAGTATACCTGAACCATTGATCCGCTTAATTGGCAGGGTTTGCGGAAACAGCCAAGTGTCTAGTTGAATCTATAGACCTAGTGCAATTTTTGTTGAAAGAAATTGGAGAGTTTTATAGATTTCTACAAACTGAAAGCCTTTTATGCTTTACGTTATTATTTATTAATTTGTTTGCGCAAGGGTATTGGGAAGCAAAGGAATTCTGGGAAGGTTTTACACAAAAATTTGCTTGATGTATGTAGTCATACATGTACATATTTAATTCCAAGTTTCCTCTTTTCTTACACGTTAGTCTATTGAGCTTGCTGCGCTCACTTTAACATTCTATCTAGGAGTGAGACTGCTGAAAGATGATTCAAAGTGAAATATGTACATAAATTCGATCTCTGTACCTTTTAGTCTTCTATAAGCAAATATACATGTACATTACGAAAAACAAATTTTTTAATGTATCGTTGTGTAAACTAAGTCCATACAAGGTACTAATTTCTTTGACCTGACTTCTTCAGTTAACAGCAGACATGGGTTGAAGCTTTAAGACTCCCAGGCCCCGCTGCTGCTGCTAGTACGTGTAGGAGAGGATGGATCCCGCGATCTCTTTCTGTGAGATTGATCTAGACGATCTCGAGTTTTATGAGAGATGTGGTGGCGGATCATTCGGGAGTGTTTACAGAGCCAAATGGAAGTCAGAAAACATCATTGTCGCTGTCAAGAAGTTACTGGTTTTGGATAAAGAGGTAAGTCTTCAGATATTTCTCATAAAACTTTTTATTGTACTTGAAAGTGTATTTTAATATCGTTTTTTTTAAGGCCTTTTGTGTCTTTGAAGAACTTTCTTGCAAAATAGGGTTACATGACTGAACTTGTCACTGTCATGTGTAATGTCCCAGTCGTGTATCATATGGGGAAAATTTAAAGCATTACAAATTTTTATGCCATATTTCCTCTTGGAATTTACATAGTTCTTGTTAATTCATACTTTATTTATTTCTCATGTACAGGCTCATGTATTGAGTTTGCTGAGTCACAGAAATATTATACAGTTCTACGGAGCTGTGATGGAGGAACCTAACTACTGCTTAGTTACAGGTAAATAAGACAGAGCATTTATCAATATTCAGGCTTAGTCCTTATAAATCTTTTTAAAAAATGGTAAATTAATTTGTTAGACACAAATGAAGCACTCAATATATACTTTTACATTGTATTGTAAATCATGCATGTACAGATTGTCAAATTTGTTTTGAAAACTTCAATTATTCTTTTCAAACTTATGATAATTCACTCTCATGTTAATAGATCTTACAGAGAGATTTAATATTCTGTTTGACAATGCCCTGAAATGACTTCAATGTGTTATTCCTCAGAGTTTGCAGAGAAAGGTTCCCTGTATGACTACCTACAGAATCCTGACAATGTAATGGATTTTCAGCAGATTCTTACATGGGCAACAGAGATAGCTCAGGGTAGGTGATAGTGATGGGGGAGGGGGCTGGAGTGGGGGTGGGTTACATGTAAATTTAGTGTAATTGTCAAGGAAATGTAACATTTATATGAAATATTTAATGGAAGGATTCTTTTGATTTTGCTACATACATTTTCTTTCTAAGTACATAAACTGAAAAGGAATGTCTGATACATGTACATGTATTAATACCAGGTAGTTAAAATTTTATTGAAAGATCTACCTCTAAAGAATTAACATTTTGTTTTAATATTTCAGGCATGAATTACCTGCATAATGAGGCACCTATGAAAATCATACACAGGGACCTCAAGTCCAAAAATGGTATAACTGCACCATCTTCCTGATTCTCAAATTTCAAAATGACCAAAGCCTTTAAGTACTGTTGGAAAGCTTTTTATAAGAATAAGAACTTTTTTGATGGCTAGCAAAGTGTTGTCAGTGTTTGTTTTACTTATGCAATTATAGACACAAAATTTTAGGAAAAAACCCAGATGATATCTTACGAAATCTGAATTAGAAGCATAGGTCCAATTTGATAACATGCTGTCTAAAAATGATATACATGTATTATTTATAAAACAAGAGGGTTTTTTTCTATCATTTACATTTTATCATTTTGTTAAACCTAACGTTTCAAGAGAAGCAATGATTTTCAAAAAGTATCCTCAATTAAAAATGTAAAGGAGGTACAAGAAACAATTAGCTTTGATTTGATTATGATGTTTTGTTTCTTTTTGTAGTTGTCATCTCGGTCCAGGGTGTGTGTAAAGTAAGGCTTATCTCTCTCTCTCTCTCTCTCTCTCTCTCTCTCTGAATTTAAAGTACGAGGGTTGTTCGGAAAATATTGAGACAATTACATTTACTCCATAAAGGACGGAGATAATTTCATGAAAATTCATCAACATCTTATAAAGAACGAATAAAACACTTAAGCAAAATTTCCAATTCCTACGATAATTAGATAAGTTTCGGTGAAGGAATAAATATGCATATGTCTATCGACCCGGAGCAGCCTCGTAATGTCACTTAACGTTATGTTAGCCGTAGATTGTTTCGCATGTGAAACGATCGGGAAGCGTTTAATATTCTTCCTTCTTTGTTATTACATATATGATAATACAAAAATCAAACAGTCTCTTTTCTTAAACTATTCTTTAAAAATGTATGATGTTGCTACGCCAGTCAAAAATTTTCATTTGTTGGAAAGGATGACTTGGAATCATGCAGTGCCAATTTATGCAACGCGGGTTAAATACCATAACGATATCAATACTGTACGTAATAACTCATGGTCGTCCAGATCTTCTAATTTTATTCTAGTTAAAATAATTGTTAAAAAAATGTATACCAATGAAATAACAAACCCTAACACATAAGTTTATTCTCGTTGTTATTGTTTTAGCAGGTTGTTCAGTCTTGAAAAGAGTTCTACATTGCACTTCACACAATTTTAGGTATGCTGGCTGCTCCGCCCTTCACGTCAAAATCCATTTTTTCGTTGTTAGCAGATTTCTCTACTGCGCTTAATTTTTTTATGATCTCCGTACTTCTGATCATAATTCTATCAAAGTTGCACAACATGAATTTGAACTAAAGTTGAAAAATTATACACTTAAACTGAATTATTTTCGCTCTCATTATGGATCCACGAAGAGTTAGAATTTTGGGGTTACATATTTTCAATATCTGATTCTGCGACTGTTCTGGGTACCCCTACTATTGACATATTTATATACCATTGTAGAGAAAATATTTAATATTTGTAAAATATTTCTTGCTCTTCTAATTTTTAGTGCATCTCAAACGTATATACCAATTTTCACCGAAAGACGTTCATTAGAAAGCAAAATATAAACAATGTCTCAATAATTTTCGAACAACCCTCGTATTTAATGTTTTATATACAAACAGTCTTTTTCGTTAAATTGAGGTTTCAATGAGCTATATATCAAATTGCAAGTGTCGGATGAATTTGTTTCTTTATAAGTGTAATTGATCATTATATAGGTTACTATAGTCTTGAAATAATAACTAACTGTGAACAACCTTGCATATTTTATGGATAAAGCAAAGTTATTTAGACCTAGTTGCCTTTATCTGTGTTTTACTGTGTTTATTTTGTGTCTAGATCTGTGACTTTGGAGCCTCCCGGTTTATGGGCAGTACCACAAAAATGTCACTGGCCGGAACATTTCCCTGGATGGCACCTGAGGTATCTGAAAAATTAACCATTAAAATGGATTCCTTGAAGTTTAAATTATCGTAGTATTTTGACATTTATTGTCAAGAGTTGTCCCTTTATAACCTTTTGCATTCTGTATTAGTTTCCGTTTTGATATAACTTGGAATGTATGCTGTACAGGAAGTTACAAGGAAAATGCACCTTACATGTGTTTTATTCACAAACAGCCTTTGTTTATTATTATGTTTTTTTACAGGTGATACAGAGTTTACCTGTCTCAGAATCCTGTGATACCTGGTCCTATGGCGTGGTAAGGACTTCTTTACCTGGGGGGGGGGGGGCATAATGAGAAAAGTAGGATATTTCTGAGGAGATGGAGCTAAAAATAAAGTTTTAATCCTTACTTGAGGAGAGAAACATTATTGAACACATTTGCCTATAATTACAGAGTAAAATAAATTTTACAACAAGGCACATTAACTCTTTAAAAATTTGTATAAATCCAAAGTCAATGATATATGAAATTGTTTTTTAAGTCATTATTAAATACATGTAGTTTTGTTAAACATAGCAAAAATCTAGATAAGGCAAAATACATGTTTGTGATTTTGAAATAACTGGTTCTGAGAAATAAGAGGCGTAATTGCAGGTGTTGTGGGAACTACTGACTCATGAGGTGCCATATAGGGGGATCGAGGGGTTCCAGGTGGCCTGGCTGGTCGTGGAGAAAGGGGAGGTAAATATGGGGCAACTAAAATACCATAGAATCATCTTAATTCGTGGAGTGTTAATGTTTGTGGGGATGTAATTAAGCGGGTTGCTTGAATATACAGAAGATTTAATGAAAAATAAGTTGTCAAAATAATTTTTTCACGGGGATGTAGATTCATGGATAACATGGATAAGGGTGACCTATGAAATATATGAACATTAATATTGATCTCAACAAACATGAATGGTTTTACAGTTTTCTACATGAAGGCATTTGTTTAATATGATTTCAGAATTGATCAAAGTTAATGCATAAATTAATTATAAACATTAAGTTTTGAAGTTAAACAATATGCATTCCATACTTTATATACACCTGTAGTATTTTATACTCTATGTAGAACAGTTGTATTTCATCATTTCATTTTTTAGTTAAAAAAAAATAATTACCTCTCAATTTCACTCTGAGGCACTGTTGGTATATTTCAGAGATTAACTATTCCCAG